GTCAGACCGCAACTAAAAAGCTGTTGCCGCACCTAGCCAGGAACAATATGAAAATACTGATTTCAGCTGTTTGAAAACACAAATTTTTGAATAACCTGCAAAACATAGTTTACCCAAACGGTCTTGATTGTGTTTTCAAAACACACCGCACCAAATAAGCTGCCTCAAGCGCGGTCTAAAGAATAACAACCTAAGGGTTAATATCCTAAATTCAAGAGTTATATCCCTATGAAAAAGAGAGAACCAACTTGTATTGCAATACATTCATAACCAATAACTCTTATGTTTCTCCAATCTTAAAGCAAATTCATGGCTTTTAAACCCCACCATAATCAAAGTTTCACCAACGTATTCTCGCACAATTTCTCTCTCTCTTTTTAATCTTTTATTTCATTCTATCATAAATCCTCTCATTCTATTAGAACCCTTATTATCCTCAATTATAATATCTAATGTTGTAGTGCAATCATACCCACCCAAAATTTTGCTTAAAGTTTGTAGGGAGATTTACATGCCTACCGCTCAATTTCTATGCATTTGCATCTTTAACACCTAAACTTTAATTTTTACATGCATACCGCATTACGTGTGGATGAAAATGTTTTTTTTTTACTTTTTAAAAGTTAAAATGGTGGTAATTTTGATGTGATGGGCAAGATTTTGGGTGTTTTAAAGATAAAAGGTGAATTTTAGGTGTTATTTATATAAATACATAGGAATTGGGTGGTATATACGTAAATGGCCAAAATTTGTAATTTGCATAATCCCCCCAAAGACAAAATTATTGCGAACACTTATAAGCTATCATCCTCTCTCTTACTCATTCTTCCCATTAGCATTCCTCTTTATTAGTGGCAGCAAATGCTCACCAATTTGGAGTTGATATTGAGATTTCTTATTAGCATTGAAATATATACGTTGAGCAACATGTTTTCATACATGCCGTCCAGTTCTTATGTATTTACATATCTTATACACCTAAATTTTGTTTTTACTTACACCTAAATTTTGTTTTTAACATTTATACCTCCCAAATCTTTCACATCACATAAAAAATACTACTATTTTAACTTTTTAAAAGTGACATACACCTTTACATACATAGGAAAAGTGCCATGTATGCAAAAATTGAAGTTTAGTTGCTTGATTTGTAAATACGTAGGAATTGACTGGTACCTGGGACGTATGTAAATCTTCCAAAAATTTTTTATCAAACTTGTAATTGACATCTTTCTTGCATGTGTTTCTCATAATTTAATGCTGGCCATGACAAACTACATACACTTTCCGGCTAAGTTTCTTCGGCATATTCATTAATCAGAAAGAGAAATTCAACATAAATCAAAGAAAACATTATCGACATACCTAATTTAGAATTTGTTCCGCGAAGGAGTGTTCGCTTAAGCGGTATTCGCTTTCGTTCAAGCGCCTATTTCACCAACCAATGTAGATTTAATATTGGGGCATTGACATACATTCCACCCAATTCTTATGTATTTGCATATCTAACACAAACTTGAAATACATAAGATTTCACCAACCAATGTAGATTTACATATCTTATGTATTTCACCAACCAATGTAGGATTCTATTGAAATACATTTTTTTCATGCATCTGTAAGGCAGCATATAAGTAAAAGTTGTAGTTTAGCTGTTGGATGTGCAAGTCCATAGGAACTGATCAGTGGTATGTATGTAAATCTTTCTTTAATAAATGTTTTGCATGAGTGTCCTTCCTACCATATCTCTTCCTTCCCTTGCAACATTATTTGCTGAAAAATGTCAATTTCATGATTTATTTCTCATTGCAGGCAAGAAGACCAGACATTTTCTGCTGAATGCTAAGCTCCGGAGGATTTCATAGGCAATTCATAGGCATATAATACTATTCTGTAGATTCAAAACTATTATTTTGGTAGTTATAAAGATATTTGCTGCAAAAAATGCCTTTTATCTTGTACTTAAGAATAAATTTCACTGAGCACAACAGATTTATTACATTGTTTCTATTGTTTATTTTGTTTCTCCTCTCCTTTTAAAATGCCGATGGCTTATTTTTTCTGCATTTAGATTCAAATATTATATCTTCGAATCAAGCTTTGGATGTTGAATATTTTGATATAATTCAGTGCTGATTTTGCCTAAATGTGCATGTTTGTAGGATCATTTTTGGGAAGATTTACATGCATACCGCTCAATTTTTATGTATTTACATATCAAACACACTTCAAGTTTTTATATATCCCTCGCCCTATTTATGCATGAAAATGTGTATTTCACTAATTAAGAGTTAAAGTAGCGGTATTTTTTATGTGATATGAAAGATTTGGGCGGTATGAATGTAAAAAAATGAAAGCTGATATGTAATTACATAAGAATTGGGTGGGGTTTGGTATGCAATTTTAGTTAACCTATTAGGTTATATGTTCATCATTATTGCACATGCATCATGCATGTGTTGTTGAGTTCATGAGATGGAAAAGAAGTGAAATATATAGATGGTTCTTAGGTGTCCTCTTTTGTAATTATGAAATATATGTGTGTATGTTTGCTATTTTGCATAGAAAGATCATGATAGTAAAAGAATGAATGAAACTAATTATTAAAGTTAAAAAAAATTAATTAGATAAATAATAAGTTTAATTAAAAGCTTTAAAGTTAATTGCATTATTTGATCAAGTGTCATATGATCAAGTATGATCTTAATAGAAATTATTCAATCATTTGATAAATTAAATATTCATTAAATTGATAAAAATTAATACCAGAATTATATTTTTATGATTTACAGATCTTATATAAATATACTAGCAGGATCAATTTGCAAATAAAATTATGCTTTCTGCAAAAATCATAATATTGTCAATAAACACAAAGAAAATGCCAAAATTATTTGGTGTATATGTTAAATAAAATTGAAGAAAAAAAAAACTATTTGTGCTTTCTAACGATCCCCTATATATACTTTCAATTATTTAATTATTTTTATAATACATAATTCAACGTCATAATTAAGTCATAAAATAAACATTTTTCAATCATCAAGGGTCTGTTTGGGGTGGCGGTGCGACACCAAGTTTTGTTTGTTTGAGTAAAATGCATTTTAGTAGTTTTTTTAGAAAATTATAGTTGAAATCTTCACTTTCTCACCACTTCTGCCTAAATGCGATGTTAGTTTTATAGCTGCGATATGACTTAAAAAAAAAATTGTAATAGACATCGCAGCATTTTGAGCATCAAATTATTTTTCAATACATTCATAACAACTTTTTAACAAGATGCAGCTGCCCCAAATAGTTCCTAAGAAAATCTAAAAAAATCGACTAATTAGATGATCATATATGTAATCCCTAAATGTAAATACAATCATCTCAAGTTATAATGAATTTTGTATCAACCATACAAACAATTATGAATTGTATGCTTGATTTTAAAATAAAAACTTTTTTACTAAAAAAATGTGGAAATATTTTAAATTTTGTTTAACATATTTTTCAATTAATTTGATAAATCAAACCCCATTAAAAATATAGTTAAATTTAAAACCCACGCAAAGCTATATTGATTATGAAATATGGGAGTCTCCATTAAGTGACAATCCCTTAAACTAATTTATGGAAATGTACAAATCAAGTAATCATCTTTAAATGTCATATTGGTAATTATTGAAATTAATATGATATTCAAATTTGTGAATATTCAAGGAAATAAAATATGAAAAATTGAGATATTGAGAAAAAGAAGATACGCTCAAAGAATCAACCGCCAAGAGTGACCGACGTGCAGAATATCCCTGGAGAACGATTAAGCTACTCTCACATACGTAGTCTCTACTTTAAAATTAATATTAACATATTATTAAATTTTACTTTAATATTCTCTTTCCTTATTTTAATAATCATGACACTCTCCGTCAAAGGATGTATATAACTTATTTTTTATACTGTTTTAAAGTGGATTTTTGATTTTCATGTACCAAATATTACTATGACAATTTTGTTACAAACAACATTATTGTGCATAAGCATAATAATAATTTATCCAGAAACAACTATTTTCTAACAACACAAATTAAAAAAACCAGTCAGTTTATCCTCAGCATTTGCTGCGCAGCAGCTTTCTAAGGTAGTTGCTTATTAATAAACTGCAACTTCCCCAAACTGACCCTTAAGTGCATACCACCCAATACCACCCAATTTTCCTTAAGTGCATACCACCCAATTTTTATCTATTTACATATCTAACTCCTAAACTTTAATTTTTACATATATGTCACTTTAACTTTTCATTAAAAACCTTCTTTACGTTAAAAAGGTGGTAATTTTTATGTGATATGAAAGCATTGGGTGTATAAATATAAAAATCAAGTGATGATTATATGCAAACCACCTCAAAACATTGATATTTATAAATTAATCATGTTTTTTTTAGCTATCAAACTGATATATTTATGCGTACCACCATTAAAAAAATGAGAATTTGATAAAAATGAAAAATAATGATTAGGGTTTTACCATAAATTTTTCTATTTGAGAGAGAATTTGAAAATGGATGAAAGTGTGTCAGATTTGTAAATAGCAAAGTTTCCCATAGTTGAATGTAATTGCCTCAAAAATTAAACTTATATGTAAATACATAAGGATTGTGGGGTATGTATGTAAACGTGCAGCTCAGCGATGCTCAACATGGGGGAAAATTATTATATTAGGAAACACACGCGTTTTCCACTGATATAAGAACACGTGGCATCAAGGAAATACACATGTTTTCCTGTGATCCAGTTCAATAACACAAGATAATACTTCTCCTATGTTATTCTGTGTTATTCAGGTGTTATTATGATAATATTACTTTATTATTATATTATTATAATATAGGGGATATTCCCAGAATACAATAACACATAAATACTATCATAATAATACATGAATAATCCAGAATAACACAAGTACTATTCAACAATGTTTTTTTTTTTTTGGTTTTTTTTTCAGCTCTCCACCTCCGCGACTCCGAACGCACGTCCGGAGTCAGGATGTAATATTTGTTCCGACGACATGGGGCTCAGCGAATTTAGAGCATTCGTCTTCTTCATTCGATTCATACCTTTAGCTGAAAGCGGAGAGCCATGCCTTCTCTCTGTTTGCTAGTTTGACGAAGAGAAAGAAGAACTCGGTCCCTGTTTTGATATTCGCCACTCTACTACTTATTCTTTGATTTCTGACCTAAACATTCGGCCATGGTTTGGGGATTGATTCCAGCGGAAGCTCTTCGAGGTACTAAGTCTAATCAGCAGTCTATAACGTTTTTGTCTTCTGTAACTTTCACATCTTTTTATTTCATTTCATGCCATTTGAATCATTTGGTTTCTGTAGGTGCGCAGAAGTATTACATTTTGGCTCCCGGAACTTACAAAGTCGGTCGAAAAGGTCAGTTTTTGTCTTAGAGCTCTCTTCTTTTAAAGGACTCTTTGTTTTCTCACATTTTATGTATCGCATATTGATCGAATAGAAGTTGGAAACAATAAATTAAAAAAAAAAAAGTCGGAAACAACAAGGTCCGAGGACGAAGAACTATTGCATAATTAGGTAGTGCCTCTCTTGTTTCAAATCAAAAGGTTTTTGTTAGAAAGTTGTCAGATTGTTTTTTGTAATCAATTGAATGCCAGGTTCCTTCTGTCATTTCAAATCCTTTTTTTCGGCTAGTTTGTAGAGTATGCCATATCTAATAGCATATTTGGTGAGAACCCTATAGAGGCATAGGACAGGAACTCGAAACCAAAAGGGAATGTTCTATCGCAACAATACCTATTTGGCAAGAAAACAAAGTAATCCTCCTTTGCTAATAGGTAGTGGACATATATTTTCTAATCCTAACTAATTATTCAAGGGAAAATTACATACATGGTACCCAATTCTTATGGATTTACCTATCTCACACCTAAACTTTCATTTTTACACACTTAGAACTTTATCATTGGGATTTGACTTTAAAAGGTGATAGTGAGTGCTACTTTTCATATGATGTTTGTAATTTTAAAAGTTTAGGTGTGAGAAAGGTAAATATGAAAGTTTTAGGTGCTATGTATGTAAAAGCTCCATTATTCAATTAAGTAAAGCTAACAAACGAAATAAGCAAATTGTATCTAGAAAGTAATTGATTGCTAATAAAAATAAGGCTATAAAGTAGTAAATGCTTTTGTTGCATTAGTTCCTATCCACCTCAAAAGAACTCGACTTGAGTTTTGGCAAGCTCAGTGCGTCGTCCTTCATCAGGTGGGTGGTATTGGTATTGATAAGGTAGATTGAATGCGCATGAGATATGCATGTCACTGGATAAGGAGACTACATAAGCATTATCATCTATATGCCGAGCCATTGGAAAACAACCAAATTTTTGTAGTTTCAGCGTTGAGTAAGCTCCCGAAGGAAACCATTCTTTCGGAGGCAACCATAACTAGGTCCCCAATGTTAAAGAACTTCTTGCGATGTTGATCAAGTATTTTCTTGTATTTTTGGTTGCGTTAAGTAAGCTTGTTTATAACCTCTTTCAGCTTATGGTCGAAATCGTTAACCAATCTGGCAGTTGTAGGGTGTTTCTGTACTGTTCGTATAGCAGTATCCACTGCATGGTTGAGTTCTTTAGTATAGACGATGTTGAACGAGCTTTTGCCAGTGTTTCAATTAACAATATCCACTGTATGGCTGAAGCACCTCATCTCACTATTTCAAATGCTCTCTAGCCACATATCATATCATGTTATCCAATGTAAGGTTAACAATTTCTATTTGTCTGTCTAACTGGGAGTAGGGGGTGTAAATGAGTCAAGTCTAGCTCGAGCCACGTTCGACTTGAGCTTGAGCTTGATTAATTTTATTGGGTTCGAACTCGAGCTTAAGTCCATGAGTTCGAGCCGGCTTGCTAGCCGACTTTTTTAATATAAAAGCGAGAAAATGATATTAATTTAATCTAGCTTTATAAAAAGATGACAAATAGAATGAATAATTATGTGTTAAATAGTAAGAAATCACTTAATAAACAATAATTGATAATTTGTTGGTCGAGTGAAGTTTTAGAAATGCATAATTGATTCTTTTAAGAAGGAAATCTTGTTGAATTGAATAACACAATTTTTTTGTGATAGTGCAAAATTTATATCCTGAATGTAACTCCTCTAATCTTTGCATTTTAATAGTGGTCACTTGAACCAATTATCAAATTGGCCCACCTACTCAAGGCGTATGCAACTCTGTTGCTTAAAAAAAACTATCCATCTAACATGCGTTCATTTTAAATTTTGACGTGATAGGAGGAATTGTTGCGGCTGATGGACACTAAGTAATACAATTTCTTGATGAAGTAATGTTCCCATTGTTTGAAGGTTTGATTGATGACATATTACCCTTGTTTGTAAGTTGACCACTCTTGCTAGTTGGGCTCTGACAACATAATCAAATACCCGACTAATTTTATCTCTTTTTCGCTTACTGTTAACATTTTTTTTCATTTTCAAATATTTGAACTTATGAGTTTTTTAGGATTCTGAATGTAATTTTTATTTACATGTATGAGTTATTAAGTTTGAAATGATTATCTTACAAACAACACAACAATACTGGGGCAAAAAAATGTTTTTTTTTCATAAACATTTGCAGCGCAGCTGCTGCACAATTTTACAATACAAACAGATGCACAACTTTCTCGCAGCAGTTTCCCCGAAGCAGCTTCTTCGCATAGCTGCTGCATAGTAGCTTTTTCAAGCAGCTGCAGCTGCCCCAACAGGCCCTAAGTATAGCTAACTAACTAAGCAAACAAATTATAACTAAATTGTAATTAACTACTAATAAAAAGTAAGGTTGTACACCAGTGAACGCTTTGGCGGGATCGTAATAAAGTTAGCACAATGTTGCCTATGCAAGGCGGAGTCCTTTCTTTTTTTTTTTCATTGTTAAATGATAAATTACAAATTATGTGGCTCAAAGTCCTGATCTTACAGTGCCAACCTTCTTCTTTAATCAACGGGCCACAGTTTCTCTCACACAGAATCCTTCTCGCTGCTCATTTAACCTTTAAACTTTGCAGATTGCGACATTGTTGTTCAAATGGACCCGGCAGTATCTCGACTTCATGCTGAGATTATTGTTGATAAGCTGATTTCTCCAGACAGTTTTAGTGCTGGACCTACAAATTCAAATTCCCACGTTCGGATCAGAGATTGTTCGAAGTATGGTACATTTGTAAACAAGGAAGTAGGATCCAAGGCTGGCCGTTTGCGCCAAGGTGAGGAGGCAACCCTCAAGGAGGGTGAGACTGCAACTTTTGGAACTGGTAATGCATCATTCAGGTGAATGATAGTTTTAATTTTATTCCATTCCATAGTTGCAATTCTTATTGGTTGATTGTAGACCAGTTGTACGATATTAAAGAAAATTTATGTTGGCAGTCATTTTGAGCTTTATTTCCTGGAATTTATTTATTTTCTTTGTTATAGGTTTTGTTTTATTCCCTTAACAGTCTTCATTCACAACCCAAAACGAGGCCAACTTAAATCAATTCAAGCCATTGCATCATCTATTGGTATGTAGTTACAACTTTCTTTTTAGGGGAATTTACATAGCACACCATTCTTATACACCTAAACTTTCATAATTACACACGTAACACTAAAATTTTTAATATCACATAAAAAATAGCTCTATTACCACTTTTTAAAAGTCAAGTACACCTTTTTATGCATATATTTAAAGCACCAAAGTGCCATGTGTAAACATAAAAGTTTAGGCATGAGATATGTAAATTCATAAGCATTGTGTGCTATGTATGTAAATTTCTCCTCTTTATTGTTTCGAACTCTGATGAGAACTACAAATATTAGTTCAATATGTGCCCATCAATACTGTAATATAGCTACTACATATGGAATTAGAGGCATAATGATACGGAATTATACTTAAATAAATTGCTTTTTTTATATTTCTTACATGCTGGTAGTGATGCCACTGCACGCTCAAAACTATTAGGAATCAAGAATTTATGTGCTAAGCAAAGGTGCTGCTAAAAATGATAAGGGGCATTTACATATCGAACACCTAAAAATTCATATTTACATGCATGCCATCAAAATCTTTAATATCACATAAAAAATACCACCATAATTACCTTTTTAAAAATGAGTATAGTGAAATACTTATGAAAATGTGTAGGTTTATGAAACAAAGGTGTTGTAAGAGTACATATTTAATGTTTTTTAATGTCACATTTATTTCTAACACTCAAAATTTAACATGTTTGTAGTTATCTAAATATTAATAATGAATGAATTTACATACTAAAATACTAATGAATGAATTAGATAATTAATTAATTAATTAATTTGAAAATTTGAGTAATCCATAAAGTTTTAATAAACTTATAAAAATTTTAAATCAATTAAAACTTCTATTTAACAAAACCTTAAAATAATAAAATAATTAATTCATTAAATTAATTCGTTAAATAATTAAATTAATTATTATGCTAGTAGTTAAATAATTAAATTAATTAACATGTTAGTAGTTATTGATTAAATAATTTCAATTAATTAACATTTTAGTAGTTATTATAATTAAATTAATTTTTTAAAGTTATGCTTTTTTAAAAAAAAAATAGAAATTGCCCAACAAACATGTTTTATATTTTATGTTTTTTTAATATAAATAATAACAGTAGCAAACGTGTTTTCTAAAAACAAAAAACAAAAAACAAAATAAAAACAAACAAATTGAATGCAAAAATAAAAATAGAAAACAAAAAGTAATCCCAAATAGGGCTTTAGTGTTTGAATCTTCTTTAGCATGTAAACTCTGAGAACTTTTGATAAACAGAAAAGAGCTGCTATCAAGCATGAGCTATTGATGCTGCTAAATTGCTTCAACAAGCTTTATTGTCCCCATGCCTGGGAAAGCAATGTATAATATTAAGAACTGATACTTAGTATTTTGAAGATTTACATACATACCACTCAATTTCAATTATTATGTATTTGCATATGCATATATAACACCTAAAGTTTGATATTTACACTTATAACACCTTGGTGTCGTAAACCTATGCATGAAATGATGCATTATTTAAGTGGTATGCATGTAATATGAATGTTTGTGTTAGCTATGTGAATATATAAGAATTGTGAGGACCGTTGTTGTTGGTTCATGTAGCTCCCTGCTTAGTGGGATAAAGGACCGTTGTTGTTGTTGTACTTTTTGGTCTCCTTTCCCTATCACATGAAGTGTGGCCTTAGGGAATCATTAATGACTTCATATGAAATGACGGGTTGATGGATGCAACATATTCATGTATGGATTGATGATTCCATATAACTTAAATAAATGGGGCATTTACATACATACCACCCAATTCTTATGTATTTGTCATATCTAATAGCTAAGCTTTACTTCTTATATTTATAGCACCTAAATTTGTCATGTCACGTAAAAAATACTACTATTTTAATTTTTATAAATTGAAATAAACCTTTTTCATTCATAGATAAGGTGGTATGCATGTTAAAATTGGAATTTAAATGTTAGATATGTAAATGCATAAGAATTTTGCGGTACGTACGTAAATTAGTTGTCAAAGTAGTACTTTGTTAGGTAGAAGATTTGGTGGTGTCTAGATACTGAAATTTAAATTTTAGTTGAAGTTGAGTGAGATTTTTTTGAGTTCAGAAAGTGATAATAGCATTTACCTGTTTTCAATAGAGTTTTTGATGTAAGGTGATCAAATTACATATTTTAATAGCAATTTATTTATTACAGGTGCAACAATTACGCCTAATTGGAGAGCTGAGTGCACCCATGTTCTTGTCAACGAGTCTTCTTCAGTGTCAATAGAACTCATCGATTCGATTCTTGCCAAGCAATTTGTCGTCCTCGTTCATTGGTTCGAGGTATATTTTTTGCAAAATTTCCTCCTATAACCTTCTTGGAAAGATTTACGTACATGCCACTTAATTTTTTACATATTAAGTAATAAAACTTCAATTTTTACATATAAGCCGCCTTACCATGAAAATGTGTATTTCACTTTTTAAAAGCTAAAATTGTGATATTTTTGATGTGATATAAAAGATTGGGAAGTAAAAATATAAAATGTAAAGTTTAGGTGTTAGATGTGTAGATACATAGGAATTGGGTGGTATGTATTTAAATGACCTACTCCTTTTTTATCTCCAAGCGATTGAGGGTTTTATCGCAATCCTTAGTGACTCGTATATGTTTTCTTATGATTACATACTAGCATTCAGCACCTTGACTTTTCACTTATGTTGTTTAGCGAATATTGCACGGATGTTTCTTTGCATTGTAGATCAATAGTATTCAGTATGCTCTAATATTCTTACATGTTTTGGCGCTGCTTAGGTGGTTGCCGAGAAAAATATTTGCACGGAGCTGCCAAGCTGTTCTGCGTAAGTTTTTTCCTTTTTTTACCTTAATTTTCTTGTGAGTAAGCGCTTGCTTTTTGTTATTAAGTTCATGAAATTTTATCAATCTACTCAGCTATGTACCAACCTTGAAGCTTGAGGATAATATTGTAAGGATTGTGGATCCCAAGGTTCAGGAAAATTGTCTTGAAGGCTATGAATTTGTACTTACATCACCTCATAAGGTGAGGAGTCTAATTCTCTTCTTGACCTGGTTAGGGTGGCAACATGTTTTTCCGAATTACATTGAATACCTTAGAGCTTGTTTGGGATCGCTTTTAATTTTAATATTTAATTTTTCTTTATAATTTTATTTTAAAAACATTTTTTTAGTGCATTTTTTTTGCATGTTTTTTTTATAAAAATCATATTAGCTTGTTTTTAAAGACATTCAAAACATCTAGAATTTATTTTGAGTGTTTTTAAAATTTAACTAAACTTGTTATAACATTTCAAATATGTTTTATTTCAAGTAAAAAGAAATACATAAAAAAATAAAAAAAAAATAAAAATCAAAAGTGATTCCAGACGGCTCCTTAAATTCCACTTGAAAACCTGATGTTTTCTTCGCAGTATAAGTTCGGCGATAAGTTGCTGCAGCTACTTAAAATGATTGGAGCAAGATTTGTTGGTGCCAACGAGTTTTTGTTAGATAGCCAAGTAAGCTATGCTTGCCTCCCTTTAATTTTATAAAAGGGGCATTTACATACATGCCACTCAATTCTTATGAATTTACATATCTAACTCCTAAATTTTACTGTTTACCTTTAAACCTCTCAAAATTTTCATATCACATAAAAATACCATCATGTTAAATTTGAAAGAGTGAAATATATCTTTTCGTAGATACCTGAGGTGTTATGTATGCAAAAATTGAAGCTTAGGTGTTTGAGATGTAAATACATAGGAAGTGAGTGGTATGTGTGTAAAGATTGAAGTTTTTCTGATGGATATTTAAAAGTATAACTATGTCAAATGCATAAAAAGTGATGATATATATGAGCTATATTAATGTTTATATTTTGAATTAGGATAGTAGCCACATCTCTAGTTATATCAGTAGCCAATCAATTTATTATGGGCATTAGATTTTTCTTTTCTTTTTAACTGAAGAACAATCTTTAGTAAAATTAGTCTTTCCTAATATGCTCAGTTAGCTTTGATAATTCAAATACTTATATTTACAGGCATACAATAAATTTTTATAGTACATAAAATAATATATTAGCTAATTTATTATCCATTGCTCTACTTTAAAATAGATTACATAGATCAATTTCTCCACTTCTTTTTAAACCCTTAAACGTTTAAAGTACAATAAAAATAGTAAAATATCATTTATCATTCAACCATAGAACATTTAAAACTTCTCCAAAGCTATGAAGCTAAAGATAAAGTCAGTTGTTTTGAAATGTCTGAACAAATATGAACGCTTGTGTTCAAGTAAGATTTACGTCATACCACTCAATTCTTTTGTATTTACACATCTAACGCCTAAACTTCAATTTTACATACACACCACCTTATGCATGAAAAGGTGTATTTCACTTTTTAAAAGTTAAATGGTTTTATTTTTGATGTGATTTGAAAGATTTTGGTTGATAGATGTAATTAGCAAAGTTTAGGTGTTAGATATCTAAATACATAAGAATTTGATGGTATTTATGTAAATGCCCCTATATTTAAAACGTTTGTTGCATGCATGTGCTGTGCACATGATTAAAACTACGTCGATTTGCTTTTGCTGCTAGCTAGCTCAATTAATTTTTTTGTTGGATTCTCATTCAACTATGTTAAGAAAAATAATTAACGAATTTACAAAAATAACTTAAATCTGCCATGACCGCAAACTTTCTGCAATGTTTAGGAACATATTCAATTGTTTAATGCATGTTTATTTGAGATTGAAATATTTGGCATTTACACCCTGGAACATATTGTATTTTAAATATTTATTGTTTGAAGTATTTTCTTCCAACATATTTATCTACCTAATAGAACTTTTAGACTTCAGCAGCTAAGGAGAATAATCAGGCGGTTCTTGTAATTCCTGGAGAATCAGCAAATGAAGTTAGCTACTCTCGAGAGTTCTCTTCTCTATCTAGAATCACCGATGTAAAACTACTGGCCGCTATCTTATCTGGGAACTTGGATTCTTCTTTCATCGAGCTTCCTTCTAGTATGTATTTTTTATTTATTGATTAATATTGCCATTTCTTTTGTTTTACAAGAAATTTTCTTGGATAATTGTTTGAAGTAAATAGCCACTCTTGCACGCAATGGGTTTAAATTTACTTATTGAGATTAAAGTAAGATACATGAATATATCTTGAGATATCGGTATTCATTTTTTCATTCTCGTACACATTTTCTTCGTTGTCTAGAATTATTGACATATAGAATCTTTCTTTATTGATCTGTGTTTCATGATATTTTGTCATGCTTGACATGCTTTTTTTGAATTTTGACATATATGACATATCATTATTGCCATGTTGACATGTTGAGTTATCTAGATTGTAGTGGGTAAATTGTTAGAATACTTAGGTGGTGTTTGGTAGCAACTTTGAATAGTATTTATCATTGAATTTATGAAATCCAATCAAACATAAAAATGCAAGGGTTCTGCAGATTTATGAATTTTCAGATTTAAGGGCTGAAAGTTTGCCTTCTTCGATTAGCCTTAAATCCAGATTTACTAAATCCACAAGGAGGGTAGATTTAATGGATTGACGATTATCTGATTTACTAAATCCTACTTGCAGCCAAACACCCCCTTAGGGTGAATGTAGGATTAAAGTGGTGGTGATGGCTTGTTGTGGAAGTTTTCATAATCCCTTGGATTTTACTAGAATCTAAAAATAGTATTTTTGGTTTAGGGTTTTATGGGAGAGGCATGGGGATGATTTGAGGGCAGAATGACTTGTGGATTGTTAGGTTTTGATGCGAAGAGTTCTCATGTTTATGGTATTATTTCAACCCATATTAAAAGAGTCTGGGAACAAAATTGACATGTTTTTATATTTTGAGACTAAAATGACCTCTACAAAGATTTAAAAAGGATTCATGTAGCCGATCCCACTTAGTGGGATAAAGGTTTTGTTGTTGTGTTTTTCCTGTTTTCCACAGCTTTGTAGAGTGCTCAAAGCTTTTGCATTGGTGAATGCCACAAAGCAATCTACCAAATGATTGAATTCAATGATCAAGCTCCATCCCTTGAGTGCACACACTCAAATTCTTAATTAGTTGTAAGTTTGTCATGACTTGGTCTGAGAGCTTGAAATATCAATGTGGGAGCTTACAGTCGGATAAAAAAAGATTATATAAACAGATTCATTGCTTAAATAAAATCATCTAAAATATAAAAAAGTCATTCTATTTCACAATTTTAATTTACAGAAGTTAGTTTAGATTTGAAGTTCTTTATTGTACCTATCTCTTTCGGCTCATTGTTGTTTGTACACAGTCTCTGGGATCCATCTTCACAAAGGAGGTTTTTTAAAAAAGAATTTTAACAACTTAATGCATGATTTGAACAAATAAGTGAATAAAATTTATCTAAATTACAATAGTTCATGTTTTAAAATTATTTTATAAAAAAAATAGTAAATAGTAAAAAGGAGATAATAAATAAATATGTTTTATTGTTATTTTATTTCTTTCATTTAAAATGTCGTCTGTAGGAGCACCGCTAGATATATATTAAAAGTACATATTTCATAATATTTTTCAAAACCAACCAAAAAGAAGACAATTATCCATTTTTATTTCCATTTTACATGCACGGATACGTCGCTTTCCCAGCTAGTATTTTACGGTTGCCTCCATATATGCATATGCATATATATATTTCATTTATTTCTTTTATATAACATTTACTTTAAAAAATTTAGCATATGAAAACATGAAATTTGTATTTTAAAAAAAATTAAAAGCATTAAAAATATTTACAATTTATTTTAGAAATAAAAAAAAATATATTATAAAATAAATACATGTTTATCCACCTACTCGGTATGGTCGATTGTCCTTTCATCCGTCAGTCTATTTCTTTGGTGTACTTATAGTAACAATTAGATATGATCAATTATTATTATTTTTTCCTTTTTAAGTTACAAGGTTTTTTCGTTATTGTATTAAACCCATCAAATTGGTTGAACATATATAGGTGGTAAACTTTAATAAAGTGATATACATTAACATCATTTAATTTATTGAAACTTTATTAAATTATGGAAATCTTATTGATCATTTGTTTTTAATTAAGACATTTCCCTAACATTTAATTTATTATTTTTGAGTTAGAGCACTAATTGTGTTGGGTTTGAGAATCTAAATTAATTTTCACCTAACCTAAATAACAATTATAGAAATTAGGTATTTAATATTGCACGTGGATATCATACCTTAAATTTCTCTCTTCCTTTTTTGGTTTTGCTTTCTACTGAGTCAACCTAAACAATTTTAACAAAGTATTAAGTCATTTAAATTAGTAGATTTTTTGAGATTTCTTCAGTTGTTTGCAGAAATTTTCTAACATAAAAATCTTAAATTTTTGGTTTCGAAAATCTCGCCTAAAGCCAAAAAACTCTTATTATTCATCCATGTTAGTTGTTCTGCTTCAATTTAAGCTAGTGAGTGTTCAGTCAAGAGTCTCTTGCATGTTAAAGCCCCTCTTGTGCTTTTCTCGAGCTTGGAAAATCCCACGAGATCAGGAAAAGTCTGCTTCAATTTAAGCTAGTGAGTGTTCAGTCAAGCGTCTCTTGCATGTTAAAGCCCCTCTTGTACTTTTCTCGAGCTTGGAAAATCCCACGAGATCAGTAAAAACTTGCTTCCCCCTCTCTACTCGTTGCCTTACATTTTCCCCTCAATCGGAACTTACAAACACTCGGCCAAGCGTCGCCTGCATGAGGAAAAGTTTCCTATGAGTTGCTCGAGTTCTCACGCGCTTGGAACTTGCACATTTTGCTTGGATCTTCCCTTTCTCTTGCGCAAAAGTTCAATTTGTTTGTGCAATCGTCGGTTAGCACGTTTGCTACAAGCCGCTTATCCTTCGCCTCCCTCACTCTCTGAACACCGACTCTTGCACCATGGCCCGCTTTCTTCCGCGTATGCGGCTCAACTATTCAGTTTGAACCACTCCAACCAATCAGCGTGAAGGTCTGTTCATGTGGCCGTTGCTTCTCTAATTTTATCTTCCTCACTAGGGCTGTCAAAACGGCTTGGTCTTCGCAAACAGCTCGTGTTCGGCTCGTTCGCTAAGTTAACGAGCCGAACACGAAAAACACGAATAAATATGTCTTTTGTGTTCAGCTCGTTTTGGCTCGAAATACTACTAATCAATTA